TATTTCTGATATATAGGTTTTCTTCAAACCTTGCAAAGACTACAGAATATGGAGTTTAAAATGTTTTAAGAACTTAGAACTTTTCATGACAGTGAGACATCTGGCAGCATCAAGCTACTTCAAGAGGATGATGGGCATTGAGAGGCTCCTTATGGAGTTTGTTGACCATTTGACAAAAACAGTGTTCTTGCCTGTACTGTTTAATAAGCTGGGCATGCTTGACCCACAGAGAAATGACTGCTAAACTTGCCTAAAGGTGAGACAATTCTTTGGAGTTCCTGCTTCATAAAAGAATCTGCTAGACATTCTACAGGACACAGAAAAGTGTGATGGTTAATACTGACGAATATCTTGTATCACCATAAACCCTTCATCTGGCGATGGATGGAGATAGAGACAGAGACCCACATTGGAGCAATGGACTGAGCTCCCAAGGTCCAAATGAAGAGCAGAAGGAGGGAGAACATGAGCAAGGAAGTCAGGACCGTGAGGGGTGCACCCACCCACTGAGACAGCGGGGCTGATCTATTGGGAGCTCACCAAGGACAGCTGGACTGGGAATGAAAAAGCCTGGGATAAAACCGGACTCTCTGAGCATGGTGGCCAATGAGGGCTGATGAGAAGCCAAGGACAATGGCACTGGGTTTTGATCCTTCTGCCTGTACTGGCTTGGTGGGAGCCTAGCCTGTTTGGATGCTCTCCTTCCTAGACCTGGATGGAGTGGGGAGGACCTTGGACTTCCCACAGGGTAGGGAACCCTGACTGCTCTTGGGACTGGAGAGGGAGGGGGAAAGGAGTGTAGGGAGGGGGAGAGGAGTGGGGGGAGGGGGGAAATGGGAGGCGGGGCAGAGGTGGAAATTTTTTCAATAATCAATAAATGTGATGGTTATTTATTTAATACAGTTTCTGTGGGTTATTTCAGTCTAAGATAGCCAGGCAGCCAGGAACCAACAAGCAGCCTCCCATTACAAAAGCCAAAGAAAAATCAGAAGAAGTTATAGATGTAGAGAAACACAAAATGAAAAACAATAATATATAAAGAAAGTATATGTATGTCAAGGAAAACATACTCAAAGCAGTATGAAAAATACAAAAGAAGGAAGTAAAATGAATAAATAATGCTGGGTTTATTTTGTGTTTCTATCTAAGGCCGAGCATGGTGCTTGATATTAAGAGTTTTTTTTTCTTTCTTTTTTTTGAACTTAGTAAGAACCCATTAGAGAAAATTAATTGTTTTTATCAGTAGAGATAGTAGTAGTTATCAGTAGAGAATCTTCTGGGTTAGGGATATTTGGTCTGTGCAAGCCCTATGCATACTGCTATAGTCTCTTTGAATTCAAATGTGTCAGTCTTGATGGATTTAGAAGACCTTGTTTCCTCTGGCTCTTAAAATCTTTCAGTTGCCTCCTTCCCAGGGTTCCCTGAGCAGTAAGGGGGAAGTAACTGTCAGAGACAGTCCACTTGGGACTGAGTGTTCTGTGGTTTCACACAGAACCAGCTGTGAGTCTCTGTATTTATTCCTACTTGCTTCAGGAGGAAGTTTCTCTAATGATGTCTGACCAAGACATTAATTGATGAGTGTATTATTAGGAATCATTTTGTTGTAGCATTTATTTAGTGGTACAGTAATATCTGGTTTCCCCTAGGTCCCTAGCCTATCTTGTCTCAAGTTTTGGTCAAGAGAGCAGTATTCATGATGGGTCTCATCTCATAGAGTGAGTCTTAAATCCAAACAGATAGTGGTTAGTTAATCTCATAGACTTTTCAGTATCAACATGTTTATAAACTTTTCATTGAATCTGTTATTTTTGACATTCAGCTTTAATTGGTGGTAGTCAGAGAAGATACAGGATGTTATTTCAATTTTCTTGTATCTGTTGTGACTTGCTTTATGTCAAGGTGTGTGATTAGCTTTGGAGAAGTCTCCCTGAGCTGCTAAAAAGAAGTTATATTCTTTTTGGGGGGGGGGGATGAAACAGTCTGTAAATATCTGTTATGGGCATTTATTTTATTATGTTATTTAGATCCAACAATTCCCTATTTTTTTCGTCTAGATGACCTGTTTATTGGCTACAATTGTGTATTAGATGCAGACATTATCTCTGTTGAGGGTCAGTATATGATTTTAACTACCATAGTGTTTCTTTTTATGAACTTGGGCACTCTTGTGTTTGTTGCATAGATGTTTAGAATTGTAACATCCTCTTACTGTTGTTTTCCTTTGAAGAATATATAGTGTCCTATATCTTTGATCTAGTTTTGTTTTGAATCCTAATTTGTCAGGTGTCACAATGGTAAAACCAGTTTTATTTTAGTATCCATTTGCTTGGAGTATCTTTCCCATGCTTTTACTTTAAGGTGATTTTACTCAGTTCTTGATGCGGAGATGTGGTCTTGGATGCAGCATAAGGATGGGTTCTGCCTCCATTTCCAATCTGTTAGTCTGTGTCTTTTTATTGGAGCAATTGAGGTCAATGATATTTATAGTTATCCATGAACAGTATTTGTGGATGCCCATTATTTTGCCATTGTCATGTGGTCCCCCTTTTCTTTTTGAAGAGTTATTCTGAGATTACTTATTCCTTGTGTTTTCTTGAGTGTAGTTAAGTAGTTAATCTCTTCAGCTTGATGTTTTCTCTCTAGTGCCTGCTGTAGATATTGATTTGTAGACATATACTATTTAAATGTGTTATTATATGATAGCCTGTACTTCTCCATATATTGTGATTGAAAATTTGTCTGAGTATTGTATTACAAGCTGCCATCAGTGGTCTCTTGAGTTCATTGGACATTGATCCAGGCTTTTCTGACTTTTGGGGTCTTCATTGAAAAGTTAATGTTCTTCTAATAGATCTGTCTTCGTATGTTATGTGTTTTTTTTTTCCTTTAGAGATTTTAGCATTCTTTCTTTTTTCTGTACATACATTGTTTTGGTTATTATCTGTCATGGGAAATTCCTTTTCTGTTCCATTCTATTTGGTGTACTGTATGCTTCTTTCCATTGATAGAAAACTTCTTCTTTAGGTTATGGAAACTTTCTTTTACAATTTTCGTAAAAATATTTCCTGTTATTGATTTGGATTTGTCTCCTTCATTTATTCCTATTACTCTTAGGTTTTTTCCTTTCACAGTGTTCCACATTTCCTGGCTGTTTTTTGCTAGGAATTTTTTTAGATTTAACGTTTATTTTGAGGTATTGATTTTTGTTATAAAGTCTTTAATGCCTGTGATTCTCTTTTCTATCTTTGTCAGGAATGTTTAATATGAGCTATTGTGGACCATGAAGAAATTGCATTATTTATAGCATTGATAATTCAGATGTCAATCTGCCAGAGGAATTACTTCCTAATGGGGAAACCTCAAGTAAGGCTTACAGACCACTGAATCTGAAAACAGTTGCTTTTGTCTGTAATTTCTCCTCTGCAATAATAACTGTATTACCTCTCAATTACCATGCATTTTCTTGTAATTTTCATGTAATCATATAGTTACATCTCAATCTTATGGACACACATATTTGTGACTGATCAGAAATATGATTTTTTCTCTACACTATATTCTCCACATTTCAGTGAGGAACTTAGAAGCCTGTTCTTGGTCATTAACCTTAGTGACACAGCACTGAGACAGAGTTGGCTAGACATCTGTCCTTCTGGACAGATGACACACAGAACTTTCACAGATATTTCTCATGAAATTGCAGGTGTCTGGACTTGTAAGATCTAAATTCTTCAGTTGACTTACAGTGAACTAGGGCAGTATTGCAGGTATCTGTCCTGGTTACAGCACAGTCCTTTAGGAGCTCTGTAACACCTACATTTGCCTAATTTTCCTTCAGTGAGGTGAACCAATTCAAAATAGCAATTAACACTTTGTACCAGCTTTTTTTTTTTTTTGTACCAGCTTTTAAGATAAGATTTTAGATTCAGTAGACACTACTTTTGATTAGTTCCTGAGAGTCAGATGACAAGAAAGACTGTTAACTAACTATATCGAGTTATTATTAGTCAAAATTAAGAAATGTAATAAATGTGTGTATTGTTTTTTTTTTTTAGATCTCTCAATGGTTTAGTTTTTTTTTTCCCTTTGTAATCTGTAGTGGCCCCTTTCAAAGACGTCTAGGACCTCCCCATAGCTGCAGCTGTGGTTAGCTACAAACTAGCTGATAAGTTTTTCTACCTATCTTTTTAAAATTCTTATGTCCCAGAGAATTTTCCTTGTAGTTATTTTTTTACTAATAATTTGATAATTAATGGAGGTGTATATACTTAGGGTTTTATAACAGCAAGAAGAATGAGAATAGAGAAATAAAATAAGAATGTAGAAGAATAAGATTGGAAGAATATAAAATGTAGAGAAATAAGAATGTAGAATAAATAAGTGTGCTAGAACTGGAACAGAATATTAGAGCTAAAAATATAGAGAGGACAAGAAAATTTGAACTAAAGAAGAAATAAAGAAAATGACCTCTGATACTGTGTGAAGTTATAAAAATTTTTTCCATTTCTGCTTCTGAGGAACACTTTTCTACTAAGAAACCCTGGACAGGGGCTAAGAGTTGGTCTCTTGACCTTTATGCTCTCTTACACTTCTGGTAAGGCTTCCTTCTGAGATTCCCTATCGCATGTCTGTTTTTGTTTTTATTTTCAGTTTCCTCAATTTGGGATATTTTTATTTATTTTATTTCCACTTTCATGTCTTGAACAGTTTTCTTAATTGCATTCCATTGTTTTTATTTTTAAGACTTCATTAATAATTCATTCATATCCTGTTTGAGGTCAAACATATTCATAATAGTTGTTTGAAGTCTTTTTCTTGTGCATCAGTTATATTTCATTTCTTAGAACCTATTATAGTACAGTTACCAGGCTCCAGTGGAGATATGCTATGAAATAATCCTTTTGTACACAAAACTGTGTATTGTTATGATTGCTAACTAATCAATAGCTAAAGTGGATAAAGTTAGGTGGGAAAGAAAAACTGAAAATGATGGGATGAGGATGGGCAAAGTCAAAAGAGTTGCGGGCCAGAATGAGAATGAGTCAGGCACACAAAATGGAATAGAGGTAAAAGTCCCAAGCCTTGGGCCAGCACAACAGATTAATAGAAATGTATTAAGCTGTAAGAGCTAGTTAGTAATATAAAGCTATTGTCCAAGCATTTATAATTTATATCTCTGAGGAAGTTATGGGAAGCCGATGATAATTACTTGGGAGTTGACAGTTAGGACAGGAAAACCCTGCCTATAAATGTCACTCACTGTCCAGTGTACCTCCACATAAGACATTACAAAACTTTAAAAAGTTTCTAAAAACATAAAAATGGAGTTAAACTCAACTTCCCAGTTTTCTGTCTCTCGTGCCATCCATAGAATAGAGACACATCTCTTGACAGTTGTCTTTAAGGTGTAGAGATTGGGTGTAGGAGGATACTTGGATAAAGAAGGGCAAAGTGAAAGGAGTTACCAATGAGTTGGAGGGGAAACAGGACATGCCAGAGAGGTAAATGACTTGACCTTAGGGCATCAGATAGATGAATAGAAATAGATTAATTTAAGTTTGAAGAGCTAGTTAGTAATAAGCCTGAGCCTTTGGCTAAGTATTTATAATTAAAATGTCTTAGTTTGTTTATTTGGGAGCTGCAGTACAGAAACTTTCACCTACAGACATGTTCAAGCTGTTACTGTGTTTTTAAACAGCTGTCTGGGCATCTAAGTTTGCAATAATTGTAGCTCTAGAAGTTCATTTCTGGTCTTGTCTTTTTTGTTAAGTTTTCTGAATTTTGGGTTTGGCTGTGCTTTCTGAATCTCAAGAGCATGTGGTACCTCTGTGTCCTTGCCAGATATGACCACTAGGAGTCCTGGATAGAATTTGTTTCTAAATAGTAAGAGATGTTTGTTTTTAGTTGTTGGAATATGGGGATGGGTTAGAAAGAAAGGGAGAATGCTTGAGAGGATCCCTATGAAGGAAGGAATATGTCTCTTCTATGAGGATATGTATGTCTACGGAGAATTTTTTGTAGATCTAGAAAATGTAACTAACATGACTACAAGCTTTACTGTTATAGATGACTTATCTATTGGCCTATATTTCTTAATTATACATTACATTTTTAAATGAGCTGCACAAACACAATACCTTAATCAAGAGCAGGACTAAACATATAACAAAATTGACCTTAAATTTGTATCAATAAATCAAGATCCATACCAATGCAAGTTACTATAGTATATCCTCCTTTAAATGTAAATGAACATTTATAAACAATCATTTAGGGAATTTGGGAGTAGTACTCTCTAAACTGCCTCCTGATTTTTGTTGGGCAAAGTAATTTGTGGGTTCATGAAGACCTTTCAGGGGATATTGGCCCATCAAACCATATTAGCCTGAAGGAAATTCACAAGTTTTCGTCCAATTGGGAAACAAAAAGAGAAACTCCCTCAAAACAACATATCCTTAGACCCAAATTTTGAAGTCAATCTACCTTTAAAGTATACATATTGGTTTAGTTTAGCAGCCCATACAAGAAATTGTTTCCCTTTTACAGTTGAAATATTCAAAGACAAGACAATAATATACATAATCCAGACTCTCTGTGTATAGTCTATCTTTACATGGCTTATTTTTCTTTACTCCTTTTATGTATGACTCTGCCCCTTTAAAGGCTTTGTTTTAGTTTTTAAAACAATTTACTTCCTTTTATGACTGTCTAGATTCTTTTTCTTCGCTTTCCCAAGCCTATGTAAATTTATCCAACACTGACCCATTTTGAGTTTTTTTTTTTTTAATTTGAATCTGTCTTTATTGTGTATCTGTAAATATTTTCTGACCAGGATCACTTTTAAAATGGTAATCATCTTGGTCTCAGCAGCCCTAGATACTGGCTCCACCTCATTCAAGCTTTCAATATGGCAGAGGCATAATCACTGCCTCTGAGACTGCTGGGTGGGGGTTATACTCACCACCTCAACTCTACAAGCTGTTGGCCCATGCTATCAAAAAATAATTTGCAGCCTGCTGCCCACAAACCCCATTCAAGTGGTCAGCCTTCTGAAATAACCAGAGTTCATGCTGGCAGCATGGACCATGAAGCCACCATTTTGAAACCATCCATTTTTTTTTCTGCTACTGCTGAATCAGGAAGACCTCCCTTAAAATAGCTGTGACATGCTGTAACCAGCAAACAGAGCTCATCTGAAAAAAAAATTGTGGCTAACAAAAAATTATGCTTGGTTCCCTTTTTTGTGGGTCTAGAAGCCCTCTTTTTTTTTTTTTAAAGCTTTTTAAGTTTAATGTGGATCCACAGAGTAGACAGTGGGCTCTACTCTGTAGTCAGAGACTATTTTGACATAGATTAATTGGTTAAGTTATAATTTTGGCAACACATTAGTTAAGTTCTTTTAGATCATGGAAGTAACTGATCAATTGTTAATTTTGTAAAGTAAGTGCAATGCCCAGTAAAAATATTTGGTGTACGAAAAAACAGGAAAATACAGAATGTGTGTGCTAAGATATAAAAAGAAATAAGTGGAAGGAGCTTGCAAAGAAAAATTCTAAGACAAAATTAAAATAAAGTGCCTGTTATAAAATGTGCATCATCTAATCATACTGGACTCACCATGCTATTATATGTGGAACGATGTTCATGAGCCTCTAATATTTTGGTAGTAGTTTACAATCACATTAGTCATGTGTTTGCATTTTTAGCTATAAATCAAAGAAACCCAATGAGATAGATGATAGAAGTGCAACGGTTTTAACCACTTCTGCCCTGGGGAATGTATAATCCCTGAAGTGAGATTTAAGTTGAATATTATCTCCAAGGATACCAGGGTGAAGTCATCTTCATTTCTGTATAAATAATAACTTGGAATTGTCCTTTTTAAAGTATTTTAATTAAGGAAGAGGATCATAGAGAGGTTTTTATATTAAATCCTAAAGAGAATACACTTAGATAAAATGATTTGTGTAATGCTACGTGGTGTTATGTAGACACGAAATGAGAGTGATTTACATTTATGTTCTCTAATGTAGAAAGTAGTTTGGCAAAAATCATAGCAAAGCATGATTGTCTTTAACTCTCAGATGGCATCAGAGATTGTGATTCACAAATGCTCAGAGTCTTTCTGTAGAAAAGGGGAGAAGCATTAATTGAGAGTTGCCATTTATTTTTCCAGAGGCAGAGCTGTTTCTGTGCAGAGAGCAAGGACAAGGGGCAGACCACAAGCAAAGCTCTGAGCCTTCTAGACAAAAGGGTAAGCATCATCTTTATGCTTGCATTTCCTTTCACGTGCTTCACTTTGTGCAACTTTGGCTATGAAGTTTAGATGGTTGAAAGGTTCATGTACATTTAATGTAGATCCAAAGTTTGTCATTTCTCCAGGATGTTTTGAAATCAGAGAATTCTCTGTGAAGGTGGTTCCAATCTCCTGCCAACTATACCTGCTTGCTATACATGCTGAGGAAGCCAATGGACTATAGTCAGTCTCTGCTCTAGTTCAGGTCTGTAATAAGTGAAGGGTGACAAGCATAATCTGGAATGATAGAGACAAATAAAAGCAGAAGGATGAGAATGCCTGTGTGCATTCTTGGCACATTGCCCACATGTGTTTTCAATATTCTTAATTTTCCATATATATATCTCCCTCGTATGACTAGCAATAAAACCAAAACTTAGGCAAGTTTCAGGGAAAACTCTCTGGGCTTCTGGATTCAGAATGACTATGTACAGCATCTTGTGACAGTTTTGAATCAGACTCTTCTGCCTTTCAGATCCTGAGAAGAGAGAACGCACACGCAGAATATTTCCTTCACTACTGAGTTTATCCTGGTGGGTTTAACAGAACATTCAGAGACCCAGTTTCCCTTCTTCTTCCTCTTCCTTGGCATCAATGTTGTCACTGTGGCAGGAAACATGGGGTTGCTCACTCTAATTGGACTGAATTCTCCCCTTCACACTCCTATGTACTACTTCCTCTTTAATTTGTCTTTCATTGATCTCTGTTACTCTACTGCCATCACTCCAAAACTGTTGATAAACTTTGTTTCAGCCATGAACACAATTTCCTACGAAGGATGCATGACTCAGCTCTTTTTCTACTGCTTCTTTGTCAGTGCAGAATGCTATGTGTTGACAGTGATGGCATACGATCGCTATGTGGCCATTTGTAAGCCCCTGCTGTACACAGTTACCATGTCCCCTCAGGTTTGTTCTCTGTTGACTCTCATTGTGTACATGGGGGCATTTATTGGTGCATGGGCCCACACAGGGTGCATGCTGAGGCTGACTTTCTGTAGAGACAACATTATCAACCATTACATGTGTGACATCCTTCCACTGTTGGAGCTCTCCTGCACCAGCACTTACATCAATGAAGTGGTAGTATTCATTGTTGTAGGTTTTGATGTAGGTGTGCCCAGCATCACCATCATCATTTCTTACACATTCATTCTTTCTAGCATACTTCGAATTCATTCCACCGAAGGAAGGTCCAAGGCTTTCAGCACTTGTAGCTCACATATAATTGTGGTTTCTGTTTTCTTTGGGTCGGGGGCTTTCATGTACCTCCATCCTTCTTCTGTTCTCTCCATGGATCAAGGGAAAGTGTCCACTGTATTTTATACCATTGTGGTGCCCATGCTCAATCCTTTAATCTACAGCTTCAGGAACAAGGAAGTCAAGGTTGCCCTGAGAAAAACCTTGAGCAAGAAGATATTCTCCTGAGCTGATGGTAGTATTAGTTATTAAATGGCTATTCTTGAAATATAAAAAGAAATGGTTTGGAATTGACCTGGACTGAAACTTTGGAAAAGTAAGGATATCCTATCATCTGACAGGGTTATTACAAAAAATAATTTATTACTACATCATATTAGTTGTGGAATTTATTTCTTTCTCATTTCTTTTGTCATTTTTCTTCTTTTTATGCTCACAGTAACCCTCCTGCTTTGGCCTACTGAATGAAGGGATTATACTCATGAAACATCATGCCTGACTGTTTTATTTCATTGTATTCTATGTTTTCCTCAGTGTTTCTGGGTAATTTTCATATCTTTTAATGCATAATTGCCAGTTAATTATACATTAAAATATTATCATTTAAAGAATCCCTTTGGAGAAAATAATTTTATATATACTTTATAACTATACATTTCCTTGTTGTTAAGGTAAATTCTATCTAACACCTGAACTCAACATACTAAAAATCTTTAAAATATGTATAATTTTGTAAACTTTTATTTTTATTATTTTCATGTTAGCAAAACATTTTATATATTACAGTATATATTCAAAGTACATAAAAATGTTATTTTTAAATAAATATAAGTGCATGGTAGTAAAGTAAACTTAATGATGAAAATAGTGATCTCATGTAATTAACCTTTTATATTTATAATATATAAAATATCTGAAAATTTTTCAAGTATATAATACATTAAATATTTTTATTTAATAAACTATGATCGTGTAGTTTCTATTTCTTCAACTTCTCTTAGATCTTCCATACCTCCCTAACATCCCAACTTTTTATTTTTTTCTCTGTCTCAAAAAAAGGAAGTCAAAACAAAGAGAAAAAAACAAATGATACAAAAATGTTTCAACAAACAAAACAAAAAGCTTACAGTCATTATTTAGCTAATTTGGTGTTGGTCAACTATTTCTGGGCATGTGCCTTCCCTGGAGTCTTATTAGCTATACTTACCATGTTGGGAAACTTGTCTTTTGAATATTTTCCTCTATTGTAACTGAAACTTTGTATCTTTTAATCTACATTTCCCTATTCCCTTCCCTCTTGTTCCTTTAGGAAGCACTATTATCTTCTATTTGATTTCAACATTTTCAGAATTCACATATAACTGCTAACTCAAGCTGTTTGGCTTTCTGGAATCACCAATTTTCTTTTGGTATAATGCCTTCTAGGTTCATCCATATTACACTATCTTATGTTAACTAACTTCTATTGTGTGACATCTTACATAAGTTTTGTATCCTTTCATCTTTTGATAAAAAATCTAGGTTGACTGCACATGTTGACAGAGGTGAATAATTCTGTACATACCATGGGGGAAAGAAGAGTCTTTTGAACACAAAGATTACTTTTCCTCTGTGTATATACTTTCAGATACATACAGTTAACATAGCAGTTTCATTAAGGCTCTTTTATATTGATTATTTTGATACAATATAACCTGATCAAGATTTTTTTCAGTCTTCCAACTCATTCTGATTAACCTCACCTTCCCAACCACACAACTCTACACTCTTCTTTCTCTGTCTCTGTCTCTCTCTTTCTTTCTCTCTCCTTCTTCCCCCCTCTCTCATAATCAAACCAATTAAAAAGTAAAACAAGAAACACTGTTCCATACACACCCAAAACATGTCTAAGAAAAACATAATGATACAAAAACTTTAGAAAAATACCATTGACTTTATTTTGTGGTGGATAATTACTCCTAGGCATGATCAAATTCCTTATTATATTTTATAATGTCTATGTATACTTAGAACTACACAATATATAAGGATTTCTTTTTCTTTGACATCCTTCCAAATACTTGTCTTGTTTCCCTGTGGGTAATAGTTATTCTAATAGTCATAATGGGTTTGTAATATTGGTTTTATATGGAATTGCTTTCTGATTCATGCTGTTGTTGAATTTTTACCATATGCCTATGGCCATTTAAGTTCTCAACAAATTTTAGATACTGATCTTTAATCATATTTATAGTCTGTGTATATTTCCTTAATATATGCAGGTTATCTTGTAATTTTGGTTAATTTCCTTTTTTTGTGGAGTTTCTAAGTTTGATGTGATTATGTAGGCTACATCATTGCTTTTGTTCCCTATTCATTTAAGATTATATATTTTAAATTTCAGAAAAATCTCCACAAAGTCTGTGAAGAAAAACAAGCCATATTTTGATCAAGTGAAATAATAATTACACTCCCTGATAAATGTTTGATAAAAAACGAAGCTAAAAAGCATCACCAAACATGCACTCAGGTATTTAGAAGTAATAATCAGTAAAAAAGAAAACATGGTTGTGTGAGAACTAGAATATTTTTCAGTATATGAAGTGATAAATAATTCTTGCTGCATTTACACAAAGCAGTTTTCTTTAATTGAAAAGAAATGTGTCAAATCATGAAAAGACATGGAGGAAACTCAAAGCTATATTACTAAATGAAAAAAGTCAGTCTGAAAAGTATACAAATACATTGCATAATTCTAAATACATAACCTCCAGAAAAAGTGAATTATAGTGCCTGCATTCTTCACTGTTACTGGAGATTATGGGTAGGAAATAAAAAATAAATAAGTGATATCTATGACATTTCTTAGGTCAGTAAGCTAATCATAGTAGACACTTGTCAAAACCCAAAGAATTACAGCATCTAGAATAAGTCACAATTTAATCATGGACTTTGGTTGATAATTGGTGCGTCAAACTTGGTTTCTCTCTTACAATAGGGGTTCCATTCTAGAGCTGCAAGTTGATGGGAATGAGATATGAGCCAAGTAAAGGCCAATAGCTTTATATTGTACTGTTTACTTAACTTTACTGTGAGCCCACAAACTGCTATAAAATTATATATGTGTTACATAT